AAAAAAAAAAAAAAGTGCCTGCTCACCAGCAACTATGTGTATGCAAATTTCTCCACCTCTTCATCAACATTCCTTGCCTGTGGGTTTTGTTAGTGATCTTACTGAGTGAAATTCTTGCTGTGTCTCTCTGATGACAAGGATATTGAGCATCTTTCAGTGGGCTTATCAGCATATGAATATCTTCTTTAAAGAAATGGTATTCATGGTTAGGGTAGCTATATAGTTACATTCTCTTAATGAATGGAGCAATTTGTTCTAACGGTGTTTGTAAATAGGAGATCATGTCCGCATCTTGTACAGCAGTTAACCACTAGGAAGAGTGTATGCAATGTGTGAATTATTGAAACTGTCCTACCAATTTGAAAAAAAAATTAAATTAAAAAAAAGAAATGGTATTCATGTTTTTCATCCATTTATTAACTGAGTTGTTTTGTTCTTAAAAACTCTATATATACTTGATATTGCTTTGAAAATATCTTCTCAGGCCAGGGAGATGGCTTGGTGGTCTAAGTGCCTGCCTGGAAAGTACAAGGACCTAGGTTCAATCCCCAGTACTGCATGCCATGCTGGCCTAATGCCCAGCCAGCCCCTGAAACTGAGTGTGGTGGCACACACCTGTAATCCCAGTGCTGGGGAGGCTGAGATAGGAGGGTCATCACTATAAGTCCAAGCTGTATAGCGAGACCCTGTACCAAATAAATAAATAAAAGATTTTTTAAAAAGGAAGTGTTTTTCTCTCCCCCCTCCCCCCTCCCCTGCTCTCCCTTCCTTCCCCTCCTTTCCTCCTCTCTCTCTCTCTCTCTCTCTCTCTCTCTCTCTCTCTCTCTCTCTCTCTCTCTCTCTTGGCTAGGGATTGAACCGTGTTGAGCAAGTGCTCTACTGCTGAGATATATCCCAACCCTCTTCTTTTTTTTTCTCCAGTACTAGCACTGAACCCAGGGCCTTCACATACAGCTATACCTCAGCCCTCTTTCCACTTTTTATTTTGAGACATGGTCTCACTAAGTCTCTAAATTGCCTGGTCTGCACTCAAACTTTCAACCCTCCTGCTTCAGCTCCCCACAGTGCTGGGATTTCAGCCATGTGCTTACTATGCCCAACTCTTCTCTCCTCTGTGAGTTTCTTGATAGTGTTTGTTGGTTTGGTTTGGTTTGGGCTTTGACATAGGCTCTCACTTTGTGGTATAGGCTGGCCTTGACTGCACAGTGACCCTCCTGCTCAGCCTCCTGAGTACTGGAGATCACAGGCATATACCACCATGCCTGGCTTTTAGAGGTATCTTTTGAAACGTGTAAGTTTTTAATTGGAATGAAGTCCAACTTATGTCTACTTTTTTATCACTTACGCTTTTGGTATCACAAAAATCGTTTAAATCGTTACTTCCCATTCTGTCTATAGAGCAGCCACAATTTGTTAAATGAATTTCATGACTTTCATGTTGATAGCATCTTTTCTTCAGGCCCACACCTGTCCTGGGTTACCCCATGCGAACATTCTGACTGCTTGGCCAGCTCCCCGTGCATCTTCTCACATGCGCAGGCACTATGCTTCCTGCAGTGTTTTTCTCCATCTGGCACAGCAGTTGTCGTTCTCATCCATCAGAACCAGACCTCCCTCCCTGGTGCACCGTGGTTTTTCCTAACGTGGGGTGCTGTGGACACAAGCCAGCCACACGTGTGGTTCAAGTACGCTTGCAAATAACTAAGGGAGAACACAAGTCACTGCATGAGACTTGTCTTTGCCCACAACAGAGGTGCAGTCTAATCTGATTCTTTAGCTGCCTGGGCCAGCCATCTATTATACAAATCTGTATGTGTTTTAGGGTCCCCTAGGAGATGAGAGTCTTTTAAAACTGTCCTCTACTCTTTGTCATCCGGCATAGAATCTTCTCACACAAAGACTTACCAGGCTGTGGCAAGGTCTGTCTCTTGTCATCTACTTTATGTCCCATTCTGCTTCTTCCTCAACAATATCTGTCCTGTGGAGCAGGAACTCGCTTCTGTCTGATCTGGTAATGTCCAAAATATTTGACAGTTATTCCTTTTTTTTTTTTTTTTTTAAATTTATTTATTTATTTATTTATTGTGTGTGTGGCCAGCTCAGCCCACCAGGGGGCGGGGCTGGCTGGCATGTGGTGCTGGGGATTGAACCACGGTCCCTGTGCTTTGCTTAGCTTGTTCTAAGTAGGTGCTTTAGACCACTGAGCCATCTCACCAGCCCTTGACAGTTATTCCTAACACAAAGTTTGTCCTTTAGAGTCAGAGCAAACTCAGGTTCTACAATCTTTAAAGATCAGAACTATATCTCCAATAGAGAGCAGTGGCCCATACCTGTAATCCCAGCACTGTGAGAGGCTGAGGCAGGAGAATCACAAATTCAAGCCTAGTCTGGACAACTTAGCAATTTAATGAGAAATTGTCTCAAAATTAAAAAAAAAACAAAAAACTTTTTCTAAGGTTATGAATGTATCTTTGTGTAAAGGCCCTGAGTTCAATCCACTGTGCAAAAATAATAATAATAATAATAATAATAATAGGAGACAGGAAAGAAAACCAAAAGAAGTGGATCTCCAAACACATACTAGCACTGGCAGTTGCAAATTTGTATAAATCATCATGAATTTATATTTGTTCTTTGCTGTACTGTCAACAGCCCACCCTCAGCAGACCAGTACTTCCTTTGTTGACTCAGGTTTACCTGCCAAACTTTAAAGTAGGCCTTGCTTTTGTTAGGTTCTTCTACGATTTTTAAGGCTTTTCTCATCAAAACCGTTTTCACTTCCTCATATGGCAGGACCCCTGTTTATGTTATTTTCCAGAAACGTGCACATTTTAGGGCTGTGTGTGTAGAGGTCGTCCACGCCCTGGTGGCCAGCGTCATTTCCAGTCCCCTTCCCAGAGAACCCACTCTCTTCCCAGCTTCCCTGGAGTGTACGCCATTGCCACGGTACTCTCATATGATAATATAAAAATAGAGGCTATAGCTTTCGACTAATTTTCATACTCTATTCAGAAGCTATTCTCCAGATCTCCAGCACAGTAAATCAGAGATACATGTACACACCTCTTTTTTTAATGTAACTATAGATTTGCAAAAGTTGCAAAGAAATGTGGAGAGAAGCCCATGAACAACTTCTAGTGTTAACAACTCACAATTATTGCACAGTATACATAGAGCTCTTATTCAGAGTTCACTATTTTTACCTAACCTTGTACATACATGTAGTGTGTACGTGACTCACCGCAATTTTGCCACACGTGTTGTCCTGTGCAACCATTACCACATAAAGACACATAACCCTAGCAACCCTCCCCCATGTTGCTTTGGGGGCTGAGACAGGATCTGGCCTTGAACTCATGGCAATCCTCCTGCCTCAGTCTCCAGACTGCTGTATTACAGGCGCGCACCGGCACGCCAGCCATTCCTCAGTCTTGAACCCCCAGCAACCACTAATTTGTTCTCAGTTCTACAATTACTGCATATTAGTTCACTGTTGTTACATAAATAGAATCATGCAGTGCTTTCCCTTTGAGATTAACTTTCATCACTCCATTTATTTCTTTGAGATTCATCCAAGTTGTAGCTTTTATCAGTACTCCACTCCATTTCATTACTGAGTGGTATTTCATGATGTGGACATTCCAGTTTGTTGTTCACTTTTTGTTTGTTTTTTATGGCATTTGAACCCTGGGGAACTGTTACTTCCCCAGCTCTTCTTTTAAGACAGGGTCTTGCTGAGCCATCAAGCTGCCCAGGCTGGGCTTGAACTTGTGATCCTCCTGCCTCAGCCTCCTAGAATGCTAGAATTTCAGACATGAGTCACTATGCCCAGATCACACTAGGTGTTTGTTTGTTTGTTTGTTTGTTTGTTTGTTTGTTTTAACCTTTCATCCTGGACTGGGGAGATGGCTCAGTGAAATAAGCGCTTCCCTGGCAAAGGCAAGGGTCTGAGTTCAATCCCTGGTTCCACCAAAAAAACAAAACAAAACAAAATTAACCTTTCATCCTTTGAGCATTTGGGTCATTTCCAATTCTGGATTCTTATGAATAATGTGTCTATGGGAATACAAATTCCTAAGTGAAAAATAAATCATTTATCTGTTATGAATACCCAAGTGAGTTGCTGATGATGGCAGATTTTGTGTGTGTGCGTGTGTGTGTGTGTGTGTGTGTGTGTGTGTAGATAAGGTTTTACTATATAGTTCAGGCTGGCCTTGAATTTGCAGTGATCCTCCTGCCTCAGCCTCCCAAGTTCTGGGATTACAGGTGTGTGCTACCATACTCAACTATTTTTATTTTTAAAACCAAAAACCAAGCCATTTGTCAGAATCAAATTTTTTTGTTTTTGAAATTTCACTGTGACTCAACCCTAGAGAGATACTGTTTATCTCTTCCTTACCAGAGGGCTATCCTTCTGAAATCCATGGGAATCAGATGAACCTAGATTCAAATCCTCCTCAACTAACTTTTCTTTCCTTCTCTTTATTGAGTCTTAGCTTCCCTATCTAAAAAGTGATAATTCCCACAACACCAAAGATTTAAGATCAGCATGCTATCAAGCGTTACTTCTGATTAAGTTATCTGATACATCATATTGCCTCAATCAAACTAGCTCCCAGTGCTGTGGCTGTAGCTTAGTGGTAGAGCACTTGCCTAGGTTGAATACCCAATACTGCAAAAAAAAAAAAAAAAAAAAAGTAACACTAGTTCCTCTTCTTATGAACTTCCTATACTTGCTAAGGTAGTGCTTACTGCTCTGGGAAGCAGAAGTGAATTGGTATTTCTGGTGTTCTCTCTCCTAGGTCAGTGAACAATTTCCTGATGACTGGTCCCAAGGTAAGAAAAAAGTTCTTTGGTTAATGTGGATATCAATAAGCTTGAAGGGGAGCCTAGAGAAATAGCTCAGTAGAATAAGTGCTTGTCTGGCAAGTGCAAGGTCCTGAGTTCAATCCCCAGTACCACTAAATAAATAAATAATAAACTTGAGAACTAAAGACAATTTCTTGTGCTACATATTACAGACAATAAAGCTGATGCCCAGGGAGAGTTTGGACACACACAAAGCCACCCAGAAAACTAATGTCAGAGTCCAGAAAAACACTCAGAAGCACTAATTCTGAGTTTTTGGTTGGAATTTCCAGAAATGTCAACAGGCTTCTATGGGATCAGGCTCCAGTCACAAGTCCTACCCAGTGCAGAGGTGGGAATCGGTTCCCCCTCATGAAAGGCTAGAGTTATACTGTGTAAGCTCTGCAGAGAAGTGCGTTTCCAGACCCCAAACCTTGTATTCTCATTATTTACTCATTGGCTTTGTAGTACTGGGTGCACACTAGCCAGCACTCTAGCGCTGAACTACACCCCCAGCCCTTTCTACGCATTTCCCCCACCATCAGGCCCTAATCTCCTCTTCCCCCCAGTTTCACACTTTTGGGGGTGTTCAGCATACATAACCTACTTTGCTCATATCCACTCCCCATTACCTGCCCTTACACCCCACATCCCCTTTATCCTCTCCATCTTTTCTCCTCTTCCTTCTTCCACTTTTTAAAAATATTTTTTAGACTCCGCATATTAGACAGACATGTAATATTTACTTTGCTGAGTCTTGCTCACTCAGATAACATGGATCAACATGGTAATTTCCAGAGCCAACCTTATAAATGACAGAATTTTGTTTCTCTTTATGACTAAATAATATTCCAGTAGGTACATATATACCACATTTTCTTAATTTTTCCAGCAGGCATTATCTTAGTTACTTTTCTTGTTGCTGAGACAGAATACCCAAACCTAAAGTTAAAGAAGAAAAGGCCCATTTAGCTCACAGTCCATAACTGGCTAGCTCCAGGACATGGCTAGCACACGGCAGACAGATGTCATAGAGAAACAGTCCCTGGTATGACAAGGCAGGTGGAAGGCAGCACACAGCAACATTAGCAGCAGAAGCACTAGTATCTACCTTCTTTCTGTTCCTTTTATTCCAGGATATTCATCCTTTGGGTGATGTCATCCACACACAGAATTGGCCTACCCATTTTCCAGACTAAAACCTACACCAAACTCATCAGTGGACTAATTAATAACGACACACCCTTAACCCCAGCATCATCCACCCTAGATTCAGTCACCTCCAAAAAGTCCCAACTTAGGATGCCATGAGGCTTTGGTGGGACATTCAGATATAAGTCACAACAAGCCTTTAGACTGGTCTTATGTCTTGACTATTGTGAACTGTGCCACAATAAAAATACAAATATTCCTGTGGTGTGCTGAACTTAGCTGCTTTAGGCGATGATATAGCTCTATGTTCAGTTTTTTGAGGAACCTCCATATTGATTTCCACAGTAGCCATACTAATTTACATTCCCACCAGCAGCATAGAAGGGTTCCTTCTCCTGTAACACACACCCTCACCAGCATTTACTGCTTTGTATTCTCAATGATAGCCATTCTCATTAGAGTGAGATGGAATCCAAATAGTTTTGATTTGTGCTGTGGTTTATATCTAGATATTTCCCAGTCTCATACACTCATAGGTGGGGCAGATGAGTGGCTTCTGGGATCCTGCAGCTGACTTGCTGTTGGGAGGTGAGACCTGATCAGAAGCAGGTGTGACCTGGAAGGGTTTCTCTCCTTTTCCCGCCTCTCCCTTCATTTGCTCTGCTTTGCCGCCACCACAAGGTGAGCAGCTCTCCTCTACCATGTTCATAGGCCTTGCCAGCCCACAATGGCACCAGCCATCTAGACAGAAACATACGTTCAAATAAGCTTCTCCTCCTTTAAGCTGGAAGTGTTGGGTATTTTGTACAAGCAATAAGAAAAGTGGGGCTGGTGAGATGGCTCGGTGGTCTAAAGCACCTACTTAGAACAAGCTTAGCAAAGCACAGGGACCGCGGTTCAATCCCCCAGCACCACATGCCAGCCAGCCCCCACCCCCGTGGGCTGAGCTGGCCACACACACACACACACACACACACAAATAAATAAATAAATAAATAAAAAATAAGAAAAGTGACTATAATAATTTGCATTTCCGTAATGGCAAAAGATATTAAGCATTTTTCATATAATTTGTATTTCTTTTAAGTATTAACTCAATCTGTCCAATTGTTGATCAGACTATTTGAATTTTGATAAGTTTCCTGAATTTTTTATATTGTAGATACAGTGGTGCCTCAGTTTATGAATGCTTCTGTCTGCAAACAATTCAGTTCATGAACAGAAGCAGTCAGCAATATTTTGCCTCCTTGTGTGAATTCCTCACCTTTGAGGAAATTTGATGTGGTTCATGATCAATTAGGTTTGCAACCAGAATAATGGACAAAATTAAGTTTGTAAATCGAAGTACAACTGTATTAATCCTCTGTTGGAAGAGTAGCTGGTAAAGATTGTCTACAATTCTGTGGGCTGTCTCTTCATTGTTAGTTGCTTCCCCTGCTGTGCAGAAATTTTTTTAACTTGTTGTAGGCTTACTTGTTGGCTTTTGTATTATTTCCTGGGCTACTAAAGTCCTATTCTGGAGGTCTTTTCCTGTGCCTGTGGCTTCAAGGGATTCTCCGATGTTTTCTTTTAGAAGTCTCAAAATTTCAGGTCTGAACACCTAGGTTTTTAATTCATTTTGATTGCTTTTTTTTTTTTTTTTTTTTGCGGAACCGGGGATTGAACTCAGGCCCTTGCACTTGCCAGGGAAGCGCTTATTCCACTGAGCCATCTGCCCAGCCCTTTAATTCATTTTGAAGTGATTTTTGTACAAGGTAAGAGCTAAAGTTCTAGTTTCAATCTGTTACAGTGAATATTCAGTTTCCTCAGAATCACTTGTTTTAAAAAAAATAACTATTTTCTCCAATGTATATTTTTGGCTCCTCTGAGACAAACTCCCAAGGCTGGCCTCAGACACTTGATCCTCTGGCCTCAGTCTGCTGAGTAGCTAGAACAGGTATGTGCCACCACACCAAGCGCAAGATGTTCTTTTCTTTTTTTAAGATGTTATTTTCTAGCACAGTAATGTGGTATGAATAACTAAGAATTCACTAGTTAGAGGACTGGGACTCACTTTGGAGAGGTGGTTTATATAACAAATTAAAGCTAGTGGGAGCTAGAGTCTAATAAAAGTTTCTTTCCTAGTTCTGTCATTTGCTAGCTATGAGACCTGGAGCAGCTTAGTTTACTTCTGCTAAGCTTCAGTTTCCTAATCTATAAACTGGCCCCTATTTCACAAGGTTATCTGTAGTGTTAAATGAGACAGTATATCTAAAGTGCCTATTCCATCACCATTTTGGAGGAATGGGCAAGAAGTTTGGGGTAAATGCCTCCTAAATTCAGCCTGAATCTTTACCCCTGTAGGCCTACCTGATCTACTCCAGCAGTGTGGCAGCTGGTGCCCAGAGTGGAATAGAAGAATGCAAGTATCAGTTTGCCTGGGACCGCTGGAATTGCCCTGAGCGGGCTCTGCAGCTCTCCAGCCATGGAGGACTTCGCAGTGGTAAGAACAGTCTTGGCCAAATTCCTGGGTTCCCTGGCCACAGGCTGTAGATGTGGGGATGGCAGCTTTCTTCCCCTACATCTGTTCTTCTCCTCCCTCTTCTCTGAGGACATCTCCCTCTTCTCAGATCTTCTCTTTCTTCTCTACCTCCACTTTCCTACCTATAGAGTTTTTCTTTCTACCCCAACACTCTCACTGCCCAACAAAGGACTGTGTCTCACCTCCAATCCCATTATGTCCTTGGCTGCCCCATCAGCTAAAGGTTTCCTGACAGACAACAGAAGAAATGGTAGGAGGCCTGTAGGGGTCATAATTACTAATACCTGGTAGCCCCTTCTTTCAGCAGGCTCAGCAGAGGCACTGGACCAGTGAGAACTTGGGCAGGGAAACCAGATCCTCGTAGAGACAATAAATAGGGTCTATGCCGGTAAATGAAAGCTGCCCAAATGGGGTTCTTCTATAAATCAACTGAGCGAGCTTCTTAGAAGCCAGTGCTCCAGGAGGAAGTAAAGACGGATCCTTCACCATTCAGCTTTCACATTCATCTCCTTTGTTTCTTCCTCAGCCTCTTTCCCCACCTAAGTCTTTCATAATCATGTGCATCAACAACAGTGTGGCCACCCAGTCATGAAATGTATGCCAGGAAAGGTGGGAGAAGTAGATGCCTAGGCCAGGGGTGAAGCTGAGGGAGGCACTGGAGTCAGGCGGCTGGGCTAGTACTTCTTTGGGCTCCCATGCCTCCCTCTAACCCTCGGACTCCTGCCAGCTAACAGGGAGACTGCATTTGTACATGCCATCAGCTCTGCTGGCGTCATGTACACACTGACCAGGAACTGCAGCCTCGGGGACTTTGACAACTGCGGCTGTGATGATTCCCGGAATGGGCAACTGGGTGAGTCGCACTTGGATGAAGTAATCTGGTCAGGTAAATTCACTTCCAGGGTGACAGCCCCAGGGAAGTGGGTGTTTCTTCTGAGTTGTGACTAGAGCTAGGAAGGTGGAGTCCAAGGCCAGCCTGGGCTACACAGCCACACTTGGTCATATGAAGAGAATTGTGCTGAGAGAGAACAAGTTGGAGCTTAAATTTTACACTGAAAAATAAGACTAAATGTAGCAATGGGCCCTCTTCTCCAACACAGTAATAACAAGGTAGCTAGAGGAACAAAACCCGCACAGAGCTGTCCAGTCCCGCTCACAATGGGGTGTGTCCTGGCCTTATTTTCACCCGTGCGCTTTGTTCTGGCCTTCTACACTTGGCTCCAGCCTCAGCCTCCATTCTCTCACGACCTCCGGGCTCACCCCTAGGCCCAGTTCGTGCCTTGGGCGCTAGGGAGCTCCCCGCTGCGCGGCAGCTGGCCTGTCAGAACTGGACAGGGCTGCAGCTGGCAGGGCGATGGCAACCACTACCACCCTCAGGACCTGGATGGGATGGAGAGGAGCCCTGGGCAGAGTCACCCTCAGCCCTTCCTGCTGGCCCTACGCCTCCCTGCAAACCCCCACCCCCACCCCTCACCCACGATAGCACTGAGGCGAGGCCCAGCCAAGCTCCCACCTTTCCAGGAGGCCAAGGATGGCTGTGGGGAGGCTGCAGTGACAACGTGGGCTTCGGAGAGGCGATTTCCAAGCAGTTCGTGGACGCCCTGGAGACCGGGCAGGATGCACGCGCAGCCATGAACCTGCACAACAATGAGGCAGGTCGCAAGGTGAGCCTCGCCCACCCGCCTCAAGCCATCTGCAGCACCCACACCACGGCACACTCGGCTCAACCTCCCCTCTCTCGCCAGGCCGTCCGGGGCACCATGAAGCGCACATGCAAGTGCCACGGCGTGTCTGGCAGCTGCACCACGCAGACCTGCTGGCTGCAGCTGCCCGAGTTCCGCGAGGTGGGCGCGCACCTGAAGGAGAAGTACCACGCGGCACTCAAAGTGGACTTGTTGCAGGGCGCGGGCAACAGCGCAGCGGGCCGCGGCGCCATCGCTGACACCTTCCGCGCCATCTCCACCCGCGAGCTGGTACACCTGGAGGATTCCCCCGACTACTGCCTGGAGAACAAGACTCTGGGCCTGCTGGGCACAGAGGGCCGCGAATGCCTGCGGCGCGGACGCGCGCTGGGCCGCTGGGAGCGCCGCAGCTGCCGCCGCCTATGCGGGGACTGCGGGCTGGCGGTGGAGGAGCGCCGCGCCGAGACCGTGACGAGCTGCAACTGCAAGTTCCACTGGTGCTGTGCCGTCCGCTGCGAGCAGTGCCGCCGCCGGGTCACCAAGTTCTTCTGCAGCCGCACGGAACCGCCGCGGGGCAGCGCTGCACCAAGGGTGGGACTGAAGCCCTGAAGGGCCTCTTCTGCCTCCTTTCCGGTTTGTTCTGGTCCTCTGTTAGAGATTCCAGGACTCCTGAGCCCTAAGATCCCGAGGGAAAGACTGCAATTTCCCCAAAGCTTGCCACTTGCCAGAGGGTTTCAATTCCTCTGCACTCTCTTCCTAGAGCTGGATCCGCAGCGTCCTCACAGCCCACAAGTAAGTCTGAGAATTGTGCTAAGCTACGAGCTACTCTGATCTTCCTTGGACTAGGAAATCTAGGCCTTCCGCCCATAGTTCCCTGATGCCGAAGCCTGGCCTAGCAGCGCAGACAAAGCCCAGCATTTCCCTGCCTGCTGTCTGCCGCCAGGCCTGCAACCAACTGAACCTCCTCCTCCAGAGCCTGCCTACTGCTTCTAAATCCCTTCTGTTGACCCACTCCAGAGGGATGGCTGACACGGGATGGCTGACATTTTCCCTCTATTTTTAAGCAGAAACCATGAGGAAACAGGCCTGAGTTTGAAAAGCACACCTTTGGGGTAGGTTCCAGGATATGCGAAGAGGAAACCTGGGCTCCCAAGCCCTGTGGATCACCCCTTCACTGTGGGACTTCACCAGTGCACAGTGACTGCATCAGCCACCCAGAACACTCCAAACGCAGCCACAAGATCAGGGACTTATAAGGACAGGGTCCCAGGCGTTTCCTACCTTTTAAAGTTAGCTTTCCATGTTTCTAGCCTATTTCCTCCTAGCAACATATCTTTACTTTTTCTCCTTCACCAAAGGAGCCAACACAGAGGTAAATAAACCCAATTTCAGGGCTGGGGAGATGGCTCAGTGGAATAAGCGTTTCCCTATCAAGCACAAGGGCCTGAGTTCAATCCCCGGTTCCACAATAAATAAATAAATAAAACAAACCCAATTTCCCTCTTGGACCCTGGTCGGCCCTTTGAAGGAAGGCCACAGGAGGGACAAGCTGGTTCTCAAGAAGCACTGGACACCTTCATTCAATAAGGAAACTTCCTGCCATTAAGCTGTTGCTAACAGGAGCTTCAGCACCTTGAACTTTAACCTATTGCAGTCACTGTAGTATATGCCACCCTCCCACTGCAAGTACTGAACTTGCTATGCAGGGCAGAGGAGTAGGGCAGGGTAAAAGTTACAACCTCTAGGCTCTCTCCTTCCTCCCGCCTCAGCAGGAAACACACCTAGCCTAGCTCAACTGAGGCTAGCCTGCCAAGGAGTAGTAAATTGCGCACACCATCTTCCACTGATAGATTCACTCGTGCTCAGGAGTCAGACCCTTGCTGCTGTGCAGCTTGAGTCTTCCGGTTCCGTGCTCAGAGAAAAGCCATGCAGCAGGGACTTGTTTATGCGACAGAGCTCAACTCCCTACAGCCCGTGGCGCTTTCTGCCTATGCCGACTCCCCTGCTCCGAGCTATCCTGGGCTCCAGGCAGCTCTTCTGCAGAGCTGGTCTGTGCCCTCCTTTCGCAGGGTAGGAGAAGGTACAGAGGCCACAAAACCAATGCTTTGGGGACTGACCAGAATGCTGGCCCAGTACGCAGGCCAGGCCTCAGGCCCCTGGCCCAGCCCTCCAGCTGTTTTGGTCCTAGCTTCCTCGGAGAAGCTCCCCCATCTCACCACAGGGCACGTTTCTCTTTGGTGCTCTGTGTCCAGCACTATTAGCAAAAGGTCTTTTCCTCATTACTTTAGCTCTTATCTGAACCTCTTAAGTCACCTTCCCTGATCAACCAACAGTGTCACTAAGCTGCCCCATCTGCCAGAGTTAACTTGATAGTGGGCATGAAGAAAATGTGGCAAGGGAGCAGAAAATATGAAAGGACGCTGTGGCAAGGTGAAGCTGCACCTAATGCAAAAGCGGACTTGTACAGCTCTGGGGTCCTCACTCCAGGCCAGCACTCTGAGACTTCATGCTGTCAGAAAATCCTGTCTCCCCAGTTGGGGTAAAGGCCAGACCCTATTTCAGGGCCACAGAGAGGAGTCACAGAGCTACCTCAGGTCTGCAACCCCCACCCCACTGTTCACTCAGAAACACTGGAGACAGCGAAACACACACTGGCACCCTCACTCATGGGTCCTTGTCTTACACACAGAAGCCTTCAGTGATGTGGCCAACTCCAGAGTCATGCCTTGGGGAGACACCTTAGAGATCTTATAGTCATACTGGGTGTCCTAGTCACAACAGGTGTCTCGCAGGCTTAGACAACTGCCAAGACTCTAAGCGTCTGGGGTGAGTGCTAAAGCTTGGCACAGCCCTCCTCCTAGGTGTCTCTGGAAGCCCATGTGCCTGTGCTCTGGGGCATCCTGAGAGGCAGGTCCTGAGGAGTGACAAGAATACTGGTTCGGGTGGATAAAAATGCTGTTTCCTTCCTGTCCCTGGCCTGTGATCCTGCACAGAGGCAGGGCTCACTCTTGTGAAAAGAACCCCCACCCCACCCCCAGCTTAACTGGCCTTAGCGAGGTCAGGGCAAAGAGACAAGTCACCCTCAGCATGCTGGTGGTGCTGCTGGTGGTGAGGGAGGGCAGGCAGGGCTCTCGCCTATGGGGGGTCTGGGTTGGTGCCTCCACTCATTCATTTCCTTTTAGCTAACCCGCATTCCTGGGGGAGAAATGTTTATGTTGGCTCCCACAGAGCCAACCCTCAGACGGGAAAGGGGGTAAGAAAGCCTGCCTTAGCAAAACAATATCTCTAAGGAGCTCGAGAAGAGAAAACAGGGGAACAAAATGCCATTAAAATAGCCTTCGACCCCCACTGGAGTCATGAAAACTTCATTTCACATGGTAATCCGCCACTCCGCCCCCTCTCTTCTCACAACACCATTTCGGAAAGTGTTTGGGAAAAGTCTTCCCCGTTAGTACACAGCTCCCTGCAGCTCAGACTTCTCCTTGTGTTAGTTCAGGGCCCCAAGCGGGGCTCTTGCTCCAGCAGCGGCTTTTTTCTCCCCCCCTTTAATTTAAACAAAGACCTCAGAGTTCATCAACCTCCCACTGAAATTCACAGCTGCTGAACAAACTAATCCCCTCTCCCAGCCTTTCTTCCCTTCAATGGGCTCTTGGCTTCAAAGACACTTTGGGAAAGGACTTCGCTAGGGCTCACACTGCTTCATCAATAGAAGTTAGTGCAGGTATTGTCTGAAGAGCAAGTGGCTTTACAAACAAATACTGCCGGACAGTTCTTCCCTCCCACACGCATCTAGCAGGCAGGCCCGGGATCGTCAGCAGGACACCCAGTGCCTTTGTGCAGCTTAGCCCTGACGTGGTACAGAGAAAACTCTAGAGCTAGCATCAGGCATGGATGGACATGGGGACGGACACAAACACCTACCCATGGCAAAGTGACTGGCAAGTCAATCGCAGTGGGTTGAAAAGTTCCTTACCCAACTCCATTGACCTCTTATGTGCCCCAGCCTTTGCCCACCTTACTAGGGTACAAGAGACTTTGAAAGACAGGTAATGGTGAAATAGGCCCCAGAGGAGGCAACCATCAGGAGACAAGTGAACCAACCAAACCAGAACAGTTTTATTGCATTATTAAATCGTCAGTGCATCAAATGCAGAGTTCACAGAGCAAGTAGCCCTGAGTCATGTGGTAGGTGAAGGGGAGAAAGCCCCAAGCCATGAGAAGCAGTGCTAAAAGTCAGCCTTCTGCTAGCACAGCTCCTGTCCATAGGCAGGCTGATCACCACAGACTGATCAGCCTGCGACTGGGCCAGGCTCAGACACATATGGTGTCAAGGGCTCTTCCCAGGAGGCTGGGGTCCCTCTGCTCCCGTTTGCTAACCCAAAACAGCTCCCAGAGAAAGGCAGTTCACCCTTCCCTGTCCTCTACTCTAACCCCCCTTTAATAATGGCACTCAAGAAGTTCCATTTAAAAGGGCATCTGGAAGATCAAGGATCTTTCAAGGTGTGCAAAGCAGCTCTCAGGGAATGCAGGCCTAAAAACAGAAAGTGAGAGGCAGGGAAAAGGTAAGGTCAGGCTCATACATCCCAGAAGGGAAGAAGAAAAGACCTGCAAGATGGGCCACAGCAAGGGCCAGCCAGAGAGCATGGGAAGTGGGGAGCTCCGACCCCAGGCCTGCTTTGCCAGCCCCACCCCCTGGGCACTCTGAGAAGACAACAATTGAGGCTGGGCACCTGTAACCCCAGCACTTGGGAGGCTGAAAAATAGGAAGGATCACTACAAGTCTGATCTGTGTAGTGAGACCCTGTAGACCTGTACTAAGTACATTAAAAAAAAAAGATGGGTCACAGCAAAGGCACACTTGGAGGAACAGAGTATCCTTGGGGGTGCCCCAGGGCAGGCTCTCACTGCTGCACTCAGGAAACAAAGACCTGGCTCTCCTGCCTGCCCTCCCCAGAGCACTCCTTGGACAGACCCCAGGTCCCTGGCACACGAGTGTGGAAGGCAGGCCCTCAGCTGGCTGGCACCAACCCTACAACCTCACAGGCTAGAAAGCAAGGGGAAGGAGCTGGGAAATAAACCCCACCTGGAGAAGGCACGTGATGCAGAAGTGGCTCTGGCAGGAGGCTGCCTGGCTCAAACTTGTAGCTTACATGCAATGGTGAGGACAGCCTTCAGGACAGGCATGAAGCTGGGACACCTCGCTGACGCTGCTGCAGCCCACCACCTGGGCATGGATCTCTAGGCCCTGCATGAAACGTCCTGCATCCACACACCAGGAAACTTCATGGAGTCCAGCCACAACGTGTGGTGAGAGCTGTGGAGGGACTGACCAAGGTTAGTGAGCCACCTAGCCCCACCCTGGCAGCATAGGTTCCAGCACACAGTAGGGCAAGGCATATTTGTGGGCAGGGGCAAGCCCAGGAGGGGGAGGGCACAGGGCAGGCATGCTCAGGACTTACCGTCCTCTCACACAGCTGCTGGTAGAGACCTTCCAGGCGCTGCGCTGCCTCCTCCAACTTCCTTTTTGTCTTCTGCAGACAGGAAAACTGATCCTGAGCCAGCCCCTAGGCCTACACTATACAGGGTAGGTTAAGGCTAGCAAAGCTCATTGCTACTTCCCTCATTTCACACAGGAAGGAAAGGAAGCCCAGTGATGGCCCTGGCTCACTAGCAAATGAATGGCAGCACTCCTTCTGGCTGGCCCACCCACCTCCCTGTCCTCCCTGCTACCCAGGAGCTGGACTTGGAACTCATTCCAGCTGCCTCCCACCTCCCTACAAGCACCCAGGAAGATGAGCTGAAGTCAGTATCTTCAGGGACAGTCAGGGAGCTGGCCACTCCCAAGCTGTCCTGGAGCCAGCTGAAGGTGTGAGAAGAGCCCGGCAGAAGGTCCGTGCTTACTAAGTCAGCTGCAGGCAGGGAGCAGCGCTGGAGAAGCGCCTCAAAGCTGGCCTTCAAGGACAGATGTGCTGGGGGCAGCTCCTTCCTTTCCATCTTCTTAGGAGACAGGAGCTGAGGCTGCTGATGAAGGAAGGAACATGGGACTCAGGGCCATCCTGTTCCAAACCAAGCAGGGCAGAGCTTGGCCCCTCTCCTTCGCTGCAGTAAGGATGCCTTCAGCTCCAGGATGATGCAACTTTGAAGAATAAGGCCCAGCTCCAACATCCCCTCTCTGCCACACAGGGAAGAACACTCTGCCCCGTCACCTGCAAGCTGAGTTGCCCTGGAGCTCCAGGGAGTGTGTGCCTCACACTGGAGACAGGGATCTGTGCTGGAAGGACCTGGTTTGGCTCTGGGCTGAGTTCCTAACTGCAGCAGTGATTGGTGCTGGAGGCATAAAAGTCCAGACAGCTAAAGTGAGGAAAAAAAAAAAAAAAAAAAAAAAAAACCCACAGGCATCTGCCTCTAGGCAGAGAGGCTCCAAAGCTCCTGATTTTGGCAGGAAACAGGATACCGGATGAAAAACAGGGGAATGGGAAGCCAGGTGAATGTGTACAGGAGAGAAAGAGTAGCTCAGGGCAGGATAACTGGGAGAAGAGGGAGGTCACCCTAAATACAGGAAGGGTAGAGCTGAATTCTGTATGGAACCAGAAAGCGGATCACTGGTAAGCATCTGACGGGGTAAGTGAAGAAAGATGCACTAACCTTTTTACTCTAAAAGTTTCCCCTGGAGGCTGAAGAATCTTTCCAGGAATATTGAGGTCCTATAAAACAAAAAAAATATAGGTTTTTAGGGGTATGGTCAGGAACACTGGAAAGTTTAGGTTTGAAAGTTTGAGGGAGTGGGGTAACGTCAGGGGCGGTCACGCAGTGTAAACAGAAACGGCTAAGCTATGTGAGTTTGTGTAGGCTATCTCCGGGACGCCATGAGCCAGCTCCAGGATGACTATGACCCCTATGCAGTTGAAGAGCCTAGAGACGAGGAGCCAGCTTTGAGCAGCTCTGAAGATGAAGTGGATATACTTTTACATAGAACCCCTGACCAGAAACGAAAACTCATCAGAGAGTGTCTTACTGGAGAAAGTGAGTCCTCTAGTGAAGATGAATTTGAAAAAGAAATGGAAGCTGAGTTAAATTCCACCATAAAAACAATGGAGGACAAGTTGTCTTCTCTTGAACAGGGTCTTCCTCGGGAAATGAAAAAGTTGGAATAGCTCCAGCAAAGTACTATGATGATATATATTTTGATTCTGATTCTGAGGATGAAGACAAAGCACAGGTAAACAAGAAGAAAAAGAAGAGGCAGCACAGGATTCCAACGAATCATGAATTGCTGTATGATCCTGAAAAAGATAATGGAGACCAGGCCTGGGTTGATGCACAGAGAAGAGGTTATCATGGTTTTGGACGACAGAGGCTACGTCAGCAGCAGCCAGTTCCCAGTACTGATGCTGTCTTGAATTGCCCTGCCTGTATGACCACTTTATGCCTCGATTGCCAAAGGCATGAATCCTACAAAACTCAGTATAGAGCAATGTTTGTGATGAACTGTTCTGTCAACAAAGAGGAGGTTCTAAGATACAAAAACCCAGACAACAGGAAGAAAAGACGGAGCCACAAGAAGCTCGGCTCTAACCAGGAAGATCGGGCAGAGCAGGCAGAAGCTGAAGAAATCTACCACCCTGTCATGTGCACAGAATGCTCCACTGAAGTGGCCGTCTATGACAAGGATGAAGTCTTTCACTTTTTCAATGTCCTAGCAAGCCATTCCTATGTAGTGCAGTTGGCATTTCATTGTACAGAACCATGTAAAGAAAGCCTTGTGGACCAGTTATTCTTCCCTCCAGCTCAGATTACTAAGTGGTGTTGAGCCTTTACTTGAGGAAGCAGTATTTATCTGTATAAAAAAAAAAAAAAAAGACACTCATCAGTCTTCATCTTTCCTCCCTTTTTTGTTCAGTTTTACCATGAATACTGGTGGAACTGAGTATTCATTTTCTTCTTGGTGGACATTTGGAAATAATGGAGCTTTTTACTTATTAAAGCTCTTTAGAATTTAAAAAAAAAAGTTTGAAATTTTATTTTAGCTAGAGACCCCTACCTCCCTGCACAAATCAGCTAGTCCCAGCAGCCATTCTCCAGCCCAAAGGGACCCAGTTCATTGGCTTGAGAGATAAGACTCTGTGAGTAGTGGAGGAGAGGGAAGGAAAGGGAGAGAACAATCTACAGCAGGAAGTGTGAGAGGGAGACTGACCTGGAGGAGTCAGGGTGCTCGTACACCACACAGCACCAGGATACAGAGCACCTGGTCCTCCAGGGGCTGCAGCAATGGGAAGCCGACAGGAGGGGCTGGGAGCACAGGAGCCAGAGGAAGTAGCCATGGTGTCTCAGACAGGGAGGCAGAGCAGGGCTGAATCATGTCCAGAGGTGTAATGGGTAAAGGAGGACCAGGAAGAGGCCATGTTTTGGGAAACCCCACAGGCTTTGGAACTTGTGCCCTTTGGCCTCCTGACAATTGTGGCTCAAACAAAGCTAAAGCAGAACAGAAATAGGTCATCTGCCACTGAATTTCAATTTGGGAAAGACTCAAGACACATCAGGGAAGAATAGATCAGCGATAACAACATAAGCCAAATATGGTGATACATGCTATCCTGAGTCCAGGATCAAAGCCAGCCTAGGCAACACAGCAAGACCCAGTCTCAAAAAAAAAAAAAAAAAAAAAAATCAAGCCAGGTGCAGTGGTACACACTTGTAAACCCAGCACCTGGGATGCTCAAACAGAAGGATTTCTCTGAGTTCGTACTACACCTTGAGATCCAATCTCAAAACAAAAATTCAAACCAGGGAGTGGTGCACGCCTGAAACCCTAACATTCAGGAGACTGAGGCAGGAGGACTGTGTGTTCAAGACCAGGCTGAGCTACACAGTGAACTCAAGGCCAGCCTACACTATATAGCAGAGAGATAACTCTGAAGTCTCGCACTTCCTTCTGTGGGTTATTCTCTCCATTGTCTTGAAACCTTCTACCTCAAAAACAAAGAAAAAGAAAAGAAAAACCAAAAAACAGAACCCTAAAGCTGAGAATAATAATTAACACACATATATAGAGATGTATAATTTTCTAAGTACTTTTAGCTATATATCTTTTTTTATCTCAAAAAACAATCATATCGAACCATTTCAGGGGCCAGGGAGATGGCACAGTAGAATAAGCGCTTGCCTGGCAAGCTCAAGAGCCTGAGCTTAATCCCCGGTTCCGAAAAAAACAAAAAAAGAATCATTTCAAAAAAAGCATGAATGCTTTTACTTAAGAAACAGCATTAAAAAATTTGTAATCTACTAGGAATTAAGATTTCCAGCTCTCTCAAAAACATTTTCTTTACATTTTAATTAAAAACCAAAACCCATAAAGGAACCGAGGGTCATACGGGCACGAGCAGCATGCATGCAGGGCCCTGCCGCTCCTCCACGCTGGCCAGATGAAGCTCCACACACTCGTAGGAAATTCCTTTTCAAACACACCGTTGTGGGGCTGGGGAGATAGCTCGGCAGTGTAAGTGCCTGCCTGGCAAGCACAAAGACCTGGGTTCAATCCCCGGTACCACATGCTTGCAAACACCATACCAAGCCAGCCACCAAAACCTGGCATGGTGGTACACGCCTGTAATCCCAGCACTGGGGAGGTTGAGACAGGAGGGTTACTGTGAGTTGGAGCTACGTAGCAAGACTCTACACTAAATAAATAAATCTTTTAAAAATACATTTGGGTATGCATGTGCACGCATGCAGGGGTGTGGGTGTGTATGCTTGTGTTTCTAGAGATGGAACTTCATTTGTGGTAGAAACTGCACTACCACTGAGCCTTATTCCAGCTCTCAATCTCTCAAGCTACTAGATGAGAGGAAGACAAGTCCCCCTTGGACCACTGACTTCTGTGCTTGCAGCAGTCCACAGGGACTTAAGGGCAGCCTTCCTGAAAGCTTTACTTTAGTAACTTTTATGTCTGGATTGCACATCCATAGATTGAACCAAGCATGGAAAATAATCAGAAAAAAAGTGTGCTGACCACGAACACTTTTCTTGTCATTATTCCCCAAACAATTCAATATCACAACTAATATAGCACTTACACTGTTTTAGGTATGGTGAGTAATCTAGAAAGGGTCTAAGGTGCACAGAAGGCTACTCACCTGGCCCTGTCTCGGAGCCCACAGACAAAGTCCTACCTGCCTGGGGCCCAGAGGCCAAGGCACCACCTACAGTCTGCACACCAGAGTGCTGGTGAGGGCCTCCAGGAGGGCCACAGGGAGGGCCAGTTGCTGAGGGCATAGGGACCACTGAGATGTGGCCCATGGCCTTGGAAATGGGAAAAAGAGAAAAAGGCAAGCTCTTACAGAGGGTAGGAGCTGAAACCAGAAAAGCACAACAGAAAATTAGTGAAACAGAAAATAGTTCTTCGGATAAAATCAGTATACTGCTACACAGACTGATAAAGACAGAAAGAGCAAGCCAGGCATGGTGGTGCACACCTGTAATCCCAGCTACTCTGGCTGAGGCAGGATTCCAAATTCAAGCCAGCCCAGGCAATTTAGCACAACCCTTTCTCAAAAGAAAAAACAAAGGGGGGGGGGCGGCTGGGGTTACAGCTCAGCTCTTAGTACCAGGAGAGGAGGAAAAAAATAGAAAGATAAAAGATATAAACATGAAATAGGCCCTAAAGCCATTAAAAGGGCAATAAAGAGCTATGCAGGGTGACACATGCCTGCATAGTAATCCCCACACTGTTGAGGCTGAGGCAGGAGGATTGCTTCGAGTTCAAGGCCAATCTGGGCTACAAAGTGAGCTCAAGGCCAGCCTGAACTACATAGTGAGACCTTGTCTCAAAATAAAATAAAATAAAGGAATATTCATATTACTTTAAAATCATAAATTTGACAACTTTGAAGAAACAGACCAACTCCTCAGGTATAACATACCACCAAAACTCAGCCAAAATGAAAGGTGAGCTGAGTTGTCCTATAATTATTAAGAAATATAATTTGTAACTTAAAATTTACCCCACACCAAAAAGCATCTCCAGCCTGGCTGGTTTCATTGGACAATTTTATTAAACATTCAAAGAATCAATATGAAGTTGATATAATTTTTTTTTTTTTTATGTGTGTGTATGTGTGTGTGTGTAACCAGCTCAGCCTACCAGGGGGCGGGGCTGGCTGGCATGTGGTGCTGAGGGATTGAACCTCGGTCTCTGTGCTTTGCTAAGCTTGTTCTAAGTAAGTGCTTTAGACCACTGAGCCATCTCACCAGCCCCAATAAGGATTTTTTTTTTTTTGTTTTTTGTTTTTTGTTCCTCGAATGCCTTCAGGGCACTTTTGGCCAGCGGGAGAGTTGTGAGGTTCGAACTCCAGCAACCTGAGGCTGACAGTGTTGTGGAAGCAGCCACTTAAAGGCCTGAGCTAGGGCCAGGCCCCCAAAGTTGATATAATTTTTTCCAGAACACTTAACTCATTTTATGAAGCCACTACAGATGTTATCCTGACACTCAAACCAGACCATGTACAATCCTGGCTACTCAGGAGGCTAAGGCAGGAGGATTGTGGTTAGCCTAGGCAACAGTATTTTGTTTTTCAAAATACTAGATTTTTGGGCTCAGGACTTAGCTTAGGGTAAAATGCTTCCCTAGAATGTGTAAAAGACCCTGCATTTGATTCCTAGCACTATCCAAAAAAAAAAAAAAAAAAAAGACAAAGCGCAAAACTACAAATCCATACTCTCATGAACTTAGACACAAAACTCCTTATTAAAATTTGGGCTAAACAAATCCAATAATGTATACTAAAAAATATATTCCACAACAAAGTGAGATTTACTCCAGGTTATGTAAGGCTGGTCTAATAAACTTAAAAATCAATTAGTGAGGGCTGGTGAGATGGCTCAGTGGTCTAAGGCACCTACTTAGAACAAGCTAAGCTAAGCAAAGCACAGGGACCGCGGTTCAATCCCCAGCACCACATGCCAGCCAGCCCCGCCCCCTGGTGGGCTGAGCTGGCCACACACACACACACACACACACACACACACAATAAATAAATAAAAATTAAAAAAAAATCAATTAGTGAGCCAGGCATGGTGGCACACGCCTATAATTCCAGAATTTAGGAGGCTGAAGCAGGAGGATTGCCACAAATTAAAGACCAACCTGAGCTATATAACAAGATACTGTATTATATGAACTAATACAGAAAAAGAAAACCTGACAAGTTCCTGGGCAAACAGGCATTTTGGAAGTGAGGGCAGGGCAGCTGTACTGGAGGAACGCCCTGAGCAAGGGCTTTCAGGAGGGAGCGCTCTTCCCTGCCCACTCTGCCACAGGAGAGCGCAGCACGCCTCCCCCGTGGACACAGCACAGCTCCACCTTGGCACCAGACACCAAGCCTGCTGCTGGCAGTTCCTGCGCTGTGCTGCCTCCAGAACACGAAATACAAATTCCTGTTCTTTGTCAACTCCCAGTCTGTAGTTATTCTGTTACAGCAGCACACTGCCTCAGCCTCACAGACAGCACCCACCAAAAAACCTACACCTAGTAGCACACTTCATGTGAAGCACTGAATGTTTTTTCTCTGAAACTGGAAACAAGACAACTACTTAACCTAACACTGGAAGTCCTCATCACTGCAGTAAGGCAATAGAAAGAAATTGAAGGCCCACAGTTTGGAAAGGGGTGCGGGGGGGGAGAGAGAGAGAGAGAGAGAGAGAGAGAGAGAGAGAGAGAGAGAGAGAGAGAGTCTCACTCACTCCATTTATCCCTCTATGTGAAAATGCCTGCATAGAAAATTGCAAAGAACCCACGAAAAACTCCTAGAACTAATAAGTGAATTCAGGAAGGATAGAGGATACAAGATGACCATACAAAAATCAACTGCATTCTATTTGCTGACAAAGAACAATGAAAATCAAAATAAAACTTGTAAGGGCTGGGGAAATAGCTCGTAGCTTTAAGCGTAGCTTAAGTGCCTGCCTGGCAAGTGCAAGGTCCTGAGTTTAATCCCCGGTACCCATCCAACCCCCCAAAAAACCCAATAAACAAAAAAGTATAATATTTGTTTTCAAGGTGCTCAAAATAAAACTAAATGCTTAAGTTATAATAAGAGAAAACAGTGGGCAAAGAATAAACCCGGGAGCTGGGGAGATAGCTCGGTGGTCTAAGCACCCGCCTGACAAGTGCAAGGACCTGGGTCTGATCCCTGGTACCACATTCAGGGATACCATGGTATCTGGGTGCACTGTGCCAGCCACCAAAATCAGGCACGGTGGGACATGCCTGTAATCCCAGCATGGGGGGGGCTGAGACAGGAAAATCACTATGAGTCTGAGCTGCGTAATGAGACCCTGTACCAAATAAATAAATAAAGATTTTAAAAGATAATAAAAATAAACGTGGACCCAAACTTCATGTCAAAAAACAAAATGTATGCTTAATATAGAAAACTATAAAATTTCTATACAGAACATGGGAGAAGATGTAGAAGGATTAAGCAAAGACTTGATATCAAAAGCATTATATGTGAGAAATTTTATAGACTGAACCTCATAAAATTAAAAACTTGTTCTCTGTGAAAGCTCCCAGTAAAAATATGAAAAGATAAACCAGTCCTGGTAATCCCAGCACTATAGATGCTGAGGCAGGAGGATCACCTCATATTCAAGGCCAGGGGCCAGGGAGATGGCTCAGTGGAGTAAGCGCTTCCTGGCAAGCGCAGGGCCTGAGTTTGATCCCCAGTTCCGCCAAAAAATAAATAAATAAAATAAAATGTTATGTTAAAAAGAAAAATTCAAGGCTAATTTGGGCACATCTTGAGTTTAAGGTCAGCTTGAAGTACATAATGAGACCCTGACTCAAAGCTCCGAAAAAGAAAAACAAAAGATGACACAAATTAGCAATTGGGATAAAATACCTCCAAGTCACATATCCCACAAAAGACTTATATCTAGAATATAGAAAGAACTTTCAAAACTCAACAGTGAAAAAAAAATCCAATGAGAAATTGGGTAAAAGACATTACAGCCATGTCACTGAAGCGAGTACAGAAGTGCTGACAGACAATATTTTCAAAGGAATGAATTGGTGTCGCCTTCGCCACAGTCTCCCGGATCTGGGGATTGAACACAGACCCTTGGGCTTGCCCAGGAAGTGCTTGTTCTACTGAGCTGTCTTCCTGGCTCTGACAGACAATACATGAAAAGATATTCCACAACATTCACCATTAGAGAAATTCAAATTAATGGGCTGGTGAGATGGCTCAGTGGTCTAAAGCACCTACTTAGAACAAGCTTAGCAAAGCACAAGGACCACGGTTCAATCCCCCAGCACCACATGCCAGCCAGTCCTGTCCCCTGGTGGGCTGAGCTGGCCACACACACACACATAAGTAAAAATAAAGATAAAAAAAGAGAAAATGTTTTTTTAAAAAAAGAACTCAGTCATGAAAACAAATTATTGGAATATATAAATGGATTGAGCCTGAAAGAATTCATGTTAAGTAAGAAAAGCTCATCTGAAAGGCTATATATTCTGATGAGAATTCTCATCAGTTCCTTTTATGTAACAATACTGAGATAATTGTAAGGCTGGAGAACTCTGAGTGACACCAGCGTAGGGATGCGGATAGTGTGGGCATGAAGGTACAATGTGACAGTACTATTACATAAGACTGTGTGACAGAACTACATAATTATGGTCAGAGACATATAAATGAATACATGAAATACATCATCAAATCTGAATCTATGAGTTACAGCAGGGCTCCCCAGTTAGAGAAATGACCACCATGTCTGAAGGAGCCAGGATGCACAGCAGAAGGTTAGCAGAGGGCAAAAGTGAAGAAAGCCACATCTGTATTCATCGGTGCACCCCAATCCTCATCCCCACCTGAGCTCTGCCTCCTATAGATCAGTAGTGGCATCAGATTCTCCTGGGAACAGAAATCCTGCTGTGAACTACACATGTGAAGGGTCTAGATTTCGAGTACCTCTTGAGCATCTAATGCCTGATGAGCTGAGGTAGAGCTGAGACAGTGATGCCAGCTTTGGGGACTGGATGCAAAATTACAAATAGCAGAGAGGTCAAACAGAAACTACAACAACTTATGGTTGTACTATTACAGTACAGAAAGAGGCAGAAAGGTCACTGCCTTGCAGAAACTTGTATCAAACCCTATCAGTGCCAGGTGTAGTGGCACACACCTATTAGGTCCAGCCCTCAGGAAGCTGAGGTATGAGGATCATCATGAGTTCCAGGTAGTCTGGGATACACAGTGAGTTCAAGGCCAGCTAGACTGAGACTGTCTAAAAACATC